GGCTATTTTTTGGTTGCAGCCGTCATTGTTGTTTGGCGGGCCTGGGCTGGATTTGAACCCACCACCTTAGGTGTATGTGGCTGGCGCCTTAGCCACAGGCGCTGAGCCGAAGCATTCCATATTAAACAACAACAACACAACAACAACTCCTATTTAGATCTTAGTATTTGTTCAGTATTATGCTAGGCACCAAAGAAGTTTGCCTTCTGGAAGAACAGACTGAGGCCAAATTATTAAGGGTCTTAAAATCCAGGGAGGAAAGTTTACACTCAATGCAAAATGTAAAGCAAAGCCACTAAAAATGTTAACATTCCATTTTGGAAAGGATAGTTTATCCCTGTTTTGCATTAGAGGAAACTGAGGCCCAGAGACTGTAAGTAATCAACCTTAACCTGAGGTCACTCAAACATCTGCATTCCAAAGCCTTTTCTCTAAAGAATCACCAAATGTTGCTCCAAAGTGAGTGGAAACTTCATTTAGGCTGATGTTTGTGGATAAAGGACCTGGTAAGCAGACAGATGTGGGTCATCCACACAAACATCAAAGTCAAAAGCACGTGGAGAAACATGACGCATATGCTCAGGTGAAGAGAAGAGAGTGGCGATGGAGATGGAAGAAAATGTCCATTCCTCAAACATTACTGCCCTTAAGGAGTGAAAGAAACCAAGAATTTAACAAAGGAGTGAAAGGAAAGCTTCCGGGGCAGCTTTGGGAAACTATGTGGGAAGCAATGAAAAGCAGGTCAAAGATTAAACATTTCCTCTCCACCAATTTCCTCGAAGAGTAGAAGGGTCTGTCCTCAGGCAAAGGCAAGAAGAGCTAGAGCTGGTACTAGGTATTGTTTAGCCAGGAGTGTTTAAGTGAGGTAACCAGTAATAAGTTAAAACTAGGCATCAGTTTCACTTCCATTTACACTTATGACAAAATTCTAAAAAGATACATAAAAAAGGTAAAAGCTAGCTGTCAGCTTTCCTAAAACTACCTACCAGGTAAGAGGAGATCCAAGAAGTGATTAAAATAAAAGGTAAAACTGTTAAGAGGCGGGTTTAAAGACGAGGGTGGCTTAGGAAGGGGCCTAATGCAAAAATGTGATATGGACAATCTTCCCCCACCCCACACCAAGCACACCAACTTTCAACCATGAGAAAAGTGCCTTTTCTTCACCTGTGAGAAGTGGGGAGGAAGGGGAACATTTATCTAAGAACAAGTTTACCAAAATGAACAGTACTGTCAGGGCTGTAAACCAGTGGTTCTTACACACAGGTAGCAAGAATGAGGGCAAAAGTACTACATTCTTTCAATTACATTGCTTCATAAATTTTAATTTATGCAATATAAGCCAGGAAACGTGACTCACACCTATAAGCCCAGCACTTCAGGAGGCTGAGGAGGGAGGAGCACTTGAGGTCAGGAGTTTGGGACTAGCCTGCCCAAGAGCAAGACCCCATTTCTACAAAAAATGGAAAAATTAGGTGGGTGTGGCAGGCACTTATAGTATGAAGTTGCTGTGAGGTATGATGACACCATTGCACTGTAACCTAGACAACAGAGTGAGACCCTGTCTTGGGGAAAAAAAATTATTCAATATATAAAGTCTTATCCTTGATTCTGATAAAGTTCATCTCCTTTTTTTTTTTTTTTTTTTGAGATAGAGCCTCAAGCTATCCCCCTGCGTAGAGTGCTGTGGCTTCACAGCTCACAGGAACCTCCAACTCCTGGGCTCAAGCAAGCCTCCTGCCTCAGCCTCCCAAATAGCTGGGACCACAGGTGCCCACCACAACACCCGGCTATTTTTTGGTTGCAGCCATCATTGTTGTTTTGGCAGCCCGGGCTGGATTCAAACCCAGGTGTACGTGGCTGGTGCCTTAGCCACTTGAGCCACAGCTACCAAGCCTAAAGTTCATGTCTTAAGATAAAAGAGTATCCTTCCCTTTTATAAAATCCTGATTTTATATAGTGATTTTTTTTTCCGATGCCTTTGCAAGACAAAACAAAATTAGTAGTCCTGTTTCAGCCCTCTGTGTTGAAATCCAGAATTTAGTACTGGAGGGAACAGCTTCTGTAGAACTGAGTGGTACAGGCACAAGTATCTGCCACAGGGGTTCCAAGGAAAGGAACAAGAGTAGGTCGCAGCTTTGGGGCTTAACTGGCCAGTACCTCTCAACTCTGTCCTCAGACTCCCAGCCTCTCAAGAAGAGTCCAGATAAGGCCATTATAATCTGCTCACAGGCCACTGGCACTTCTATCACTCAGACTCATTCCTGAGAGGAGCATACATTGTAAAATAGTTTCCAAAATCACAGAAAGTTCATAAAAAAATAGAGCACAACAGCTCTTAGAGTTGCCCAAAGAAAGCTTTCCTCCAACTATAAGCAGGTACTGTCTTACCAGGCTGACACAACACAAATGTGACAACTCCCTCAAAAGTGACAAGGAGGCAGCACCCTTAGCCCAGCGGGTAGAGCACCAGTCACATATGCCGAAGTGCTGGGTTCAAACCTGGCCAGGGCCAGTTAAAACAACAAATGACAACTGCAACAGAAAATAGCCAGACGTTGTGGCGGGCACTTGTAGTCCCAGCTACTTGGGAGACTGAGGCAAGAGAATTGCTTGAGCCCAAGAGTTTGAGGTTGCTGTGACCTGTGATACCCAGGCACTCTACTGAGGGCAACACTGTGGGACTGTCTTAAAAAAAAAAAAAAAAAGAAGAAGAAGAAGAAGAAAAAAGAAAACTTCTATCCTGACTCCTTTTCCCCTTTTATTTCAGAAGGATGTGTGCTTCCTTCCTAGACAAACATGTGGCCTTTACTTATCTAATTCCTCTTTCTTATTTTGTCAATGACTCTTAACACTTGGTTAGAAAAAGTTCAAACTTTCCCATGCAGAAAGGAAAAAAAAGAGACTCAAGGCTCGGCGCCTGTGGCTCAAGCGGCTAAGGCGCCAGCCACATACACCTGAACTGGCAGGTTCGAATCCAACCTGGGCCCGCCAAACAACAATGATGGCTGCAACCAAAAAATAGCCAGGTATTGTGGTGGGCGCCTGTAG